CACGAATCATAATCGAATATACCACAGGATGATATTCATACAGTTGCAGCTTATATATTCTGCATCTTTAATGTTATGGTTCCCCCAGTTAGTAATATCAGAGATTTGCATTATCCTGTGGTATGGATTTGATCTGGATCAAATGTAACCACACAACTGCTGAATTACCCAGAGAACATACAATATGCTATCTGTGGCCACTTCATCTCATGCACTAGCTGTAGAAGGACAGATGTGCAGTGCCAGGTGTAGCCTTCTTGCACAAAACTGATCTATTGAAAAGATTTTTTTAAAAGTTTGAGCCAACCAGGATTTGTTTCTACCAAACCTGCTTTCTGTTACTCAGCACCCGAAAGCCAAATTGCTGCATCAGTAAAATCTGAAAGAAATCTCGATCCAAAAGGTTGCAGCGATTCTGAACTCCCAGGGACTCCCTTGACCCTGCACGATGCAGGTGGCCCTGGGGCTGTTTCAAGCCCTCCTGAGCTCTGTCGGCACCAGGTTTCCTCGGGCTTGCTGGAGCACAGCGTGTAGTTCCTCTCTATTTACACAGATCAGAGGCGCTTTCTCCTACTGAGAGACAGGACTGTGAAAATTGGTTTATGGGGACTTTGGCACTAAGGAAGTTACAGAATCATGGAATCATTTAAATTGTAAAAGACCTTTAAGATCATTGAGTCCAGCCTTTAACCTAACACTGCCAAGTCCACCACTAAACCATGTCCCTAAATACCACATCTACATGTCTTTTAAATACCTCCAGGGATGGTGACTCAACTGCTTTCCTGGGCAGTCTGTTCCAATGTTTGGTAATGGTTGCAGTGAAGAAATGTGTCCTAATATTGAATCTAAACCTCCACCGGCACAACCTGGGGCTGTTTCAGTGCGTGGACCAATAATCTGACTCTTGGTTCAGGAAATTATGTCCTGATGTGAAATTATTTTCCCTGAAATTAGTCTCTCTGTGTCCCAGATTCTGCAGATTCTTTCATCTTCTCCGTAAGCATCTGCTGGCTTTATCCATAACCATAAATATTAGATGGTTACAACATTTGAAGTTTATGTGCTGTGGCTTGTGTTAATATTCAGAAAAAAATTGTTAAGGCCAGAAAGAAAGGCACATTTTTGTTATGGTTATGAAGTCAATTTTCTGAGCCTATAAAATGCACATCAGTACACTGCATTTTCAGTTTCCAGTCCTGGTTCTAAATGGTCTCTGCTCCTTGCACTGAATGCTCTATCAGTGTATAGCCTAGATACTGATGCTGTACCCAGTGTGAAACAATCCTTTTAAAATGTGTTTGTATTTCCAGACAGATCATGGATTGCTACGGGAAGTATGCAGCTGTCACTTTGACCATTTTGTCTGTATTTCTGCATCTTCTTCATGCTTTCCCAGACGGAGAGTTTCTCATGCAGGGTAAGCTGCTCTCAACAAGCAGAAATAGGGCAACAGTTCGTAAAGAGTATTAACTAAACTTTCACGCATTTTATAAAAATGGTCATAAATCTTATCGTTCAGTTGAATTTATTGACACTGAGATTTGAAGGTGTAATGAATCAAGATAACTTTTCTATGAGTATGCTTCCTATTTCTTGTCTAAACTGGATTTCTCCAGGTCAGAAGTCTCTCAGATGACCACATCCTCATGTTGACGTGGGTGATCTTAATCCTTGAAACATTATCAAATAGAAACCTTTTGGTTTCTTGTACTCCTGAGATCTAAATGGCAACATAGCATCAGGAACAGCAGAACCATAGCTTCTTCTCATAACATGCAGAATATTTTTCCTCTGTAGATCCCAGAATATGGGATGTTGGTGATGTAGCATTCTGTGGAAGAGGTGTATTAGGAAGATTTTAGGGGTCTTGTGGAGGTTGGGTGTTTTGTTTTGTTTTTTTTTTTTTAATTCAGCCTTGAACTGAAAATTGAAAAATGCGACCTACAAAAATCTCAGGATCACTGAGCATTTGTAAAACTCTTGATAACAGTCTTGCCTGAAAACAGTCAATGTCTAAGAAGCATTACAAATCCTGCTGGTTCCACTTAACTATTTATTTGTAGCTAGTAGGAAATCTTCTAGGGGACAGCTAGTGTAGCAAGTGTACAAAAAAAAGACCCCTCAGTTGTCAACAAAATTAAGTTAGAAAACCAGAAAAGATACGATAATGCTTGTTCCTTTCCTAGGAACGCTCACTCTAGTTTTACAGCTGGTGCATGTTGCAGAGCTGAAGGACCCTAAAGAGGGGAGCTTTGGTGTTTTGTGCTTTTCTGTTCTGCAGATGTCAAGAAGGAGAATGTGGCCAGTGCTTCCTCTTACTGCCCACACTTTCCCTTTCTTTTTGAAAATGAAAATACAGCTGGCATCCAAGTCTCTTCCTTATATTTTTATGGCAGGTTGTCCAGAGTGCAAGCTAGGGGAGAACAGATTCTTTTCCAAGCCAGGAGCACCCATTTACCAGTGCACTGGGTGCTGTTTCTCCCGGGCCTATCCCACTCCAATGAGGTCCAAGAAGACCATGCTCGTTCCAAAGAACATTACATCAGAAGCAACATGCTGCGTAGCAAAGGCTTTTACCAAGGTGAGGGTGTGAATGAGACCCGTTTAAGCTCATTCTAGGATGCAATGTTTAGCTGAAACAGTGAATATAAAAGAATGTTTTTCCTGGAGGACATTGGAGAGCTACTTGAGGGAAATATCCTTGGCATTTATATCCTTTGCACTTGGGATGTTTCTTTTTTTTCTAAAGAGGAAATTAAAGTGTCAACCAGTACTGAGTCTGATATTCAGTTGGGATGTGGAAATTGATGCAGTGTCACTGACTTCAGTGAAACTACTTTGGCTCATGATACCTGAAGTTCTGGTGGTAGACTTCTTGTCCTCTTATTTTTAACTCTCCTGGATGTGCACCCTCCCCTTAAATGTTATGCAGTGTATTTGATTTTAATTAGTCATTTTCCTTCTGTCTATTCTGCATAGGCAGGAGTTATCTGGCAAGTTGTCTAGTCAATACTATCAATTATGTGTATGGGAATGAGGGACCAAAACCATCTGCGTTCATTAGATTAATTGAGGTTGTGTTAATAGTATAACCAAGAGGGAACTGTAAATGTGTGCAACTACTTTGAGCATGTGGTACTCTGGTTTGGAAGGTTCTCTGAAAGTGGCAGTCTGCTTAAGCTGGTTATTGTGGGAGTGATTCAGCTCCAGGTAAGAAGGGGTGAGCTAGTTGAAACAAGATAAGGTGTCTGTCCTCTGGTGGTCTCAATGAGGCTCATTCAGTGTGTTGACTAGAGGCTCATTTCAGTTACCCACTCAAAGACTTGGTGCCATTTGAGATACCCTGGGATGCTCAAGACATCTGCATATGGCTGGGAGACACAGGACAGATAAAAGACCTTCTGAAGTGGCCGCTGAAGGCTTGGTGGGATCCCCTTTGACATCTCAAATGGCAACTGATGGCTCTGAGTGCGCAGCTGAACAGAGCGCTGAGTCTCCACAGGCTGTAATGAGAGCCCAGATACCTGACTTGCCTATAGACACCTACAGCTGAACCCATCCTGACTCTTCCTCTGAGTAGAGCATAGATCTTTTTCTAGACCACCAGCATTATACTTGCCCTTAGGCAGCAACTGGAATTTGGTTGAGATGAAAAATAAAGATGACTCATCCTGTTTGTGGTCTCCATTCTTATAATCCCCATGTGAAATATTTTAAGGACACTTCCTGATTTTTCATAGATTGGTTACTTGACACTTTTTGAAAATTGGACACTTGAAAAAGTGCCAAACTAAGGACACCAAACTATGTCACTGTGCATGTCACTGTTGGAAACCTTCTCCAGAAGCCACTGATTATGTAGCTTCACAGGTTGGCATTCAGAGGCTGTTCTAGCACACGTACCCCAAAGAGCCTGTGTACACTGTGGTTAAGGAAAGGGCTTCAGACGCCCTTTACTTGAGAATGCTGTTTTTGCTGTGTAGCTAATCCTAATTATTTGTTATATGTGTGTGTTTTCTTTTTTTTAAGATTACCCTTAAGGACAATGTGAAGATAGAGAACCACACAGATTGTCACTGCAGTACCTGCTATTATCATAAATCCTAAAGCCTGTCCCTTTGTTAATGATCAAGGACAACGGTGAATGGAATATTTGTTTTTCAGCTTTTATAGCACCATTGTGTAAAGTCTTATGTTTTCTGGTCAAGACACTGGGTAGACTTCTGAATAAGATGGATAGCTGTTTTATTTCCTCTTTGCTTCTTCATGCGTTTAAGTAAGTTTAATTATTTCCATTAGAGATAAAACACAGCATTTGCATGACAACTGAAGGCTTGATCTATTTTTAAAATAAACTAACTGTTAAATCATCAATGTTCCTTGAAAAAAAAATGATGATTTAATAGCTTAAAACAAAAGATTTTGCTTTCTAGATTTCTTTTTTTTTTTTTTTTTATTGTGGGAGAGGGAGGGAAGGAGGAAGGGAGGGATGGGAAAGTGGACAGAAAAAGAAGCAATTTCTCCTTATTTAGTGATTAGATTTTTTGGAAGACTCAACATTTTGTTTCTCCTATTTCTCTTCCATTTTTTCTTTACCTTGTGGGCAGAAAGTTTAACAGTGTATCATTTATGTGCGGTGCTCTGTTTTTCTATGCCACTTTTATTTTTCTTTGAACTTTATCTTCTCCCATATAGATAAATAGAGGGAGAATAAAATGTTATAAAGAATTGTACAATTTTGTCTATCAATGGTGGAATAGAGGAGTGGTACAACAGTATTAGCTGTTTAAGGTATGCCTGAGCAGCATGGTACTAAGAGCAGGGCTTTAGTAATTCCCGAATGCAGTCTTCTGGACTCACCTCTACAAATAGGAAAGGTAGGGGGTACATTAAGTGAAAAGAGGACCACAGAATATGTGTTCAGAATACATGACCTTAAAATTGTAAACTGGGATTTTAGACATAGCCCTTGTTCAGTTGCAGTGGGTTGGGGTCTCTGGAGAAACTGCTTGCAGGTCTTGAGCCTGCCCATGGGAACTGAAGTGAATGAATTCCCCTGCTCTTCACCCTAATATCTGGGGTGAGAACATCAGCCTTGCGATCATTGCTGGCTGCAAGGGTTTAAATGTGCTGTCTCAGAAAGCCCGAGATATACTGGGGGGGGGGAGGGGATTTCCCTGCAGCAGATGCTGTGAAGGTATCAGTAAGAGCTTCTAATGGGGACAAGGAAGGTCAATGGGGTCAGGCTGTGGGGGTGGCTGGTCTGTCCTGGGGCATGGCCGTGGCTGATGGCTGCTGCAGTGCCAAGTGACTGAAGTAGTTTAGACAGGCTGTGATGGGCACTTGAGCAGCCCAAGACCAGCAGGACCTAGTGATGATTTCAATCCACTATTCATCCACTCTTCTGCCTACTCGAGTGCAAATCCAATGGTATCTTCTAAGAATACAATCATAAGGCTTTGTGGAGAAGAAAAGACTTCTCATAGACAGGGGAGATGAGGTTCTTAAAGAAGCATTATTCAGCATATGTCCAGTAAACCTTATTAGCCTGATCTCTGTGCCCTAACCCCCTGATTCAGACTCTCACCTCTGAAAACCACTGATCTGGTCAAGTCTCATGTCCTAGTGCAGAATCATCTGCACCGTGCTATTCCTGGGAGATGAAAAAAATGGGGTTTTTTTCTTGAAAAAAAAAAACTCCAGTGGTTATTCCAAAATCTTTCCAAGCAGACTGATCTTGTTGCTTCACTATTCTTACTATGCTGGAAAATTTCAATCTTCTGGCAGGTTGTCCCCTAGTATTTTATCTATGTCTCATTTGCTTGAGGGAAACACATTCTCTGAAGTTCACTTGCAGGGGAGATGTGCCTTTTTGCCCTGCCAAACTTCTTTGATAACCTCTTACTCTAGTGAGCTCCTCTGGCAGCGTCAAGTACGAGCTTGTCTATCTATGCCTGTGCTGCCCACGGTAGCAGATTGGCGACATGAGAAACTTTTGTTTGCGTCTTCTGAATCAACTTCTGTATTTTGCATTGCAAAACCATAAAAATATTGAAAACCAGTAACCAGTTAGAGTGAGATCCATGCTTTAAAGAAGACATGGGATGCTGTAGCCCTGTGTCATTCTAGGATGCCTGGTCTCTTTTCGTTCTCAGCGGCTTTTTCCTTCTTGCCCGTACAAAGCCATTTGGTCATGAACTTCTCAACTCACGGATCCCTCTCCCCCCTGAGGCGACCTCAGGCACCAAGAGCTGGCAGAGTGTGTACTGTGAGGGTATGTGGAATGCGGCAGCACCCGCCTCCTCATTAAGTCATCTGGCTCAGACTCCTGGGTGTAGAAGAAATAACACACAGCAAGGAAAGTGATAAAATAAACACGCAGATACACAAACCTAACAGCAGGCGGTAAGGTAGACAATAAGAAAGGTCAGACCTCTTCAGCCGCTGATGGATGGGCCATTAGCGATGGCCCCCGGGCTCTCTAACCGGTGGGAAGGGGGAGCAAGGCTGCCCCCGGGACGGAGCGGGTTTGAGGGAGGTACGGGGCGGGGAGGGGCTGTGCAGAACCCGGTATGGGATATCAGAAGGGGCTGGTGGGACAGTGCAAAATTTATTACGGAATGTTTAGAGGAAGGGGCAAAAGTGAAGAAAGGTGGTGGGGAATATCAGGGTGGATTGGGGAGGAGCAAGCGTGGGAAAACAGAGGGAAGGGATATTAGAGGCCGGTCGTGTGTGCAAGCTGCCAGTCTATATGCTTCTCTATCTGAGCTTGATCACTGCTGTCTGTCCTATCTTCTTATTAAATTCTTTACTTAGCTTTTTGTCTGTGTGTGTGTGTAATCTCACTTTCTATCCTATATGTGACTCCTGCAAGGACTAACAACTGGAGAAGGGACCTATAGGTCTTGGTGCCGGCAACTAGAGACACCAATGCACACGAGAGGTGTGGGTGGTGCCAGCCAGGGGGACCGTGGGCCATAGGGCTTGTAGGTCTAGGTGTCAGCAATTGGAGGGATCAGAGTGTATGCTTATGTGGGAGAGGTCTAAATAGCACACCTGTAAACACCTAAGTGTGTTTATTTTTCCCCCAGTGAATTTAATCCTGTGTGCACGTGTATGTGTAATTTGCTAGCAAATATCAAGCTGGACTAGTTGGTGAGCAGGAGGAAGCCTGCATCTGGAAGGACTGGAGGTCAGAGCCTGTGCTGGGTAAGCAGACCCCAGGTTTGGGCATGTGTGGACTGAGAAGCCGTGTTAATATTTGAGTGATCTGTCATTGTAGGGGTGCCTGTGAGACAAAAGTTTAGTACACACCTCTGCTTACTAGCAAACTTCAAGCTGGTGTGGCTGGCAAGTAGGAGACCTGGTTACCAGGTAAGGGAGCCCAGGCATGGATAGTAGGAGGGTTTACAAGCTGGGGTGATATTCAAGGATCTGTGAATGTGACTGTGCTTGTGAATCTAGAAAATGAGGGTACATATGTTTTCATAGAGGACTTCAATCCTGATCAGCCAGAGAGGAGGAACAGGACTGGTATTACTTACAGAATTTAATTGTTCATGTTTGAAGGTGAGTGTAAAACCCAAGGCCATAATCAGAAGAGTAGTGGTGATGTCCAAATAATTATAGGTTAGAAATTACCTTTACTAGACTTAAGGAAAATGCAAAACTAGGTCTTAAACAATGTGCCTTTGTATGATAAGCAGGATATATCTGTCTAAAGTAGAAGTTCAAAATGATAAAATGTTCGTTTGGTCAGCAACCCAAGAACTGCTTAGAGTTGCCAAAAGAAGTAAGAAACTAGAGGAAAGATAATTACAGCAGAGGGAGATCATGACCACCGACTCGAAAGAAAGAAGAACTAAACTTGTGTACCAATTTACATACTAGGTGAAGAGATTTTAACCAATCGTTTAATAGAATAATAATGCATATGTATTTGTAAGTGAAAGATATTAATGCTTTGTGTATAAATAACCGTTAATCCAAAAGCTTGGTGTGCTGTCTTGGGACAGACCCCCATCTCCACAGACATGTATTAAAAAGGAAATACCTCCACTCTGTGTGTGGGTTGGCTCTTTGCACACGAGGTGACGAACCCAATTTTTGGGACAACAGTGGTGTCAGGCCGGTGAGCCCATAGACAGTCAGGGCTAGGAAAAACAAAGCTATATGTAATTAGGAAGCTGTTACAGATGACCATAATAGAGAATAAAGAGGATATGAATGGGATTTATATCTATAGGTATTAAATACCAGATTTTCAGTAGGAATGAAAACCAGAAAAAAAAACCCTACAATATAGTTTCTTTACATTAGAAAATGGCTGTGATAAAGGCGAGATCAATCATATATATTTAGAGGGCACAGAGAGAAAATATCACAATACCAGAAGGGAGTCTAATCTCTTATTTACAGAGATAGCCAATGTGCATCTTCTATATTTTAGGAACAGGGTATTTGTGCATGGAGTTACAATGAAGTCCTTGTCAGTGTGCTTTATAAGTAGTCATAAATCAGTCAGGCTGATACTGCAGATTAAAAATGCTGGAGATCAAGCAAGCGGAAGATAAAAATGATTTTTTTTTACTGTCACAGTGACCTATATAAACCTACATCACCATATTCCTAGTAACAATTTCATTCTGTGAGTAGAGGGTCTAATGAAGCTTGGTTTCCTGACGATCTGTGCCCTGCCCCACTGAAGCCCCATTTTGCCACGTCCTCAGCAAACCCCTCTCCTTCCTCCCTGGGCAGCCGCGTTGGGTGCCCATCTGAGCTGCTGCAGAGCCATCAGCCAGAGCCAGGCCATGCCACTGTTTGTCTGTCCGGTGTGTTTTCTTAGGGCTGCTACTGACTTCTTTTCAATCAGACCCCAATTTTTATATTTTGCCATTAACAGCTATTGGTTTTTACAAAACTGGTAAGTCCTTCCAAGGGTTGAGGTCATTACCCATCAGCCAGAAATACTCGAAATCATCCAAAGGGTTAAAGAGTTGCTGAGGAGTGGCTGTCAGACAGCTGTGTGGACAGACAGACAGACGGTGTGAGTGCCTCACTGCTGCAAGATGCTGGCTAAAAGTCCTTCAGACGATTCAGAGGCATTGTGATTTCCAGTCCACAGCTGGTGAGTGCAGGAAGGATGTTTCCTCAGGAGAAAGATAAAGCTCTTGAGCTGTAGGAATTTTCGTCAACTGAAATTTCAGACCAGACTTCTTACTTTTATCAAGCCTGAGAAGCTGCAAGTGGGCAGTACTGTCACCCTGCCTAAACAATGATTTTAAATAGTGTTGAGGGGGAAATAGAAGGTTATCCCAGGACTTGTCCTGGATAAGTACAGGCTGTATGTCTTCCCTTTACAGCCAGATGAAAGC